AGGAGGTGTGAACCTGGAGTGGGAGACGAGGCCTTCACAACAGGCTTAACATGGGCAAAATTTGCACATCAGAAGGCTGACTTCTTCGAGAGATTGTTTTGCCAAGAGAGGAACCTTTCTTCCTTAGGAAGAGGGATGTGTGACCTCCTAGGGGTAGCTAGCACTCAAGAGTTCGAGGAAAACAGCACCAGGGAAGGCCAAGTAAAGCCTTGAGGATGGAGACTGATCCATCAGGGTAATGGGCCCAGGTAGCATGATCTGGGGCAAGGGGTAACTTCTATCACACTGCCAATATTTCTGGACATTGTCCCTATAATAGCTAGAATTTAATGATATTAAAGGTTTCAATTATGTGTTGAAAATTATATGATATTTCTAAGAGTGAGGAACACAAGAAAAAAATGACTACATAGGCAATCACACAGAACCTAGATAAAAGAAGTTCAAATATTATGCTTCAGAAGCTTTACTTACATGAATGATACTGAAAAACTAAAGGAAAAAAGTATGGATATAAAACATCAATGAGAAAAACTGAAGATTTAAAAGGGTAGAGAAGCAATGAAGACAACTAAGTAGAGGACAGCTTAAAAAAAGATATAATAAAAAGGTACTAGAAAACCTATATTAGTAACTCTTTCTTTTAAAACCTCATCCTTCAGAAATACTTATGTAAATGGGTTGGAAAAAGAAGGCACAAAAGAGGGGAGAGAAATAAATAACTCTGACTTTCTGGGTGGGAAAAGAAGGGGAAAAGGATATAGCGGCAGTAGTGGGGAGGGAGGAGAGTGACATAAAAATCAAAAGATGTCAATAAAAAAAATGCTCCAGAGTACTCTCAGATTTGTTGAATGCTGACTCCATACTATTTCGGGGGATATAACATGCACACAAGAAAGTTAAGTACATAAAAGTTATTTCAAGAAGGAGTGCTAATATCTTTAGGGAGAGGGCATGCAAATGAGGTAAGATCTCTTAAGTATTAAGTGGATTCTGAGCTGTACTTTGAAGAAACTTAGTGATCCTCAGAGTCAGAGGTAAAGAAGGATTATGTTCCAGATGTGGAATACTGTTAGCACAAAAGACGGGATATTATGAATGAAGAATATCTAGTAGGCCAATTTTACAGAAAGAAACATATAAAGGAAAGTAATAAGAAATAAGATTGAAAAGGTGAGCAGGAGTCAGATTTTAGAGGCAGAAAGGAAAAGGAGAGGATCATCATTTATTAAGCACTTACAATTGTGCCAAGCACTTTACAACTATTACCTCGTTTGATAATCATTTGATGATCTTTTATTTTATACTAGAGGCAACAGGGAGTCAATGAAGACTTTTTAAGAAGAGGAATGGTATGATGGCCAGACCTGTATTTTATAAATCAATTTAGCATCTGTATGAAAGACAGATTGTGCAGCCAGGGAGAAAATGAAGGTAGGGAGACCACATAGGAAGCTATTATACTAGTCCAGGCAAAAAGTGATGAAGTCCTGAATTAGAGGTGAAGTTATATGGTTAGAGAAAAGTAGGAGGCTATGTGTTCTTCTGTCACTCATCATATAGTGCTACACAATGTTTTACAATTCACAAAGCCCTTTCACACAACTTATTTGAGACTAACAACTTTAGTGAAGTATGAAGGGCAGATGAAATCATGTTCTCATTTTATATATGAGGAAACTAAGATTGATAAGGAGAGGTTTAAATGACTTGTACAGCTAGTAAGTAGAGCATATAAACCCAGATTTTCAGACTCCTAAACTCTGTGCTCAAGCAGATACACACAAGGATACTAAAACGTTAAGTCAGAACTCCTAATACAAGATGTAACATGAAATTATTCACTCATATTGAATTTTTATATAGTAACTACACTAGGATGCTCCACAGAAATCACTCTACAATAAATAGTGTTCTTTCTGAAAGAACAAAGCATATAATAGTAAAAAGTATTAACATAAAGTAATATTATTTGAGTTGGACTGACACTGCAAATTTGATTGAGTGATGAAGACATCCTAATTACACAGTCCATGACAATATCAAAGTAAGAAAACTGCTCTAAGAAGGAAGCAGTACTTCAAGACTGGATAAAAAGACAATTATGAATTACCTGTGATTATACCAATATGAGAATGTGTAGCAAGTATAATGAAAATAATTTCAAATTCCTTAGCAGCTGTGGTTGGAAACCTAATATTTTCTAGGACATGATTTGTTTCTACACATCCCAGCAAAATATTATCAGACCTGCATGATGCAAAGCTAAGTTTGGAAAAAGCACCTCAGGTGTTTTCATGGTTGACTTGCAGGTTGGCAGCCTGGGCTGACTATGCTGATGAATAGTTTTAAAAGGAAAAACTGCCCAAGTCCATAATAATATTAATATATTTAACCTTTCCTACCATTGGATGAAAACAATGAGGGTTTTGTTGTTCAGTTATTTTTCAGTCATGTGCAACTCTTTGTGACCCCATTTGGCGTTTTCTTGGGAAAGATGCTCAAGTGATTTGCTGTTTATGTCTCCAGCTCATTTTACAGATGAGGAAACTGAGGCCAACGAGGTTAAGTGACTTGCCCAGGGCTCCTTCAGCAAGTAAGTGTCTGAGGCCAGATTTGAACTCAGGAAGAGGAGTCTTCCTGATTCCAGGCCCAGTACTCTATCTACTGTACCACTTAACTGTCCTAATGAACACTAAAAGCCCCTGAATACATTACGCCACCTCCCTCAATTTTATGAACAAGGCCAGAGAAAATGTTCTGACTGAAACAGAAACAAATAAGAATCACCACAAAAAAGGTGAAATTAATCTCCCTAAAGATCATTTACTTTAAACGATTTAAAATCTAACCTGGTTAAGATTTAAGATCTAGTTGCTTCTCCAAAATAAAGCATTAATCAAAAAATCTAGGGCAAAATAAGCAGTAATTTAAAAAATTATAATTTTACAATCACTAGGGAGACAAAGGGTATCCTTGAAGCTTTTACAGTTTAAACTAAGTAAACTATTAAAGCTAAGGCTTTGGGGACACTCTGTATATGGTTAGAAGTTTTTAGTGAATGACAAGGAAAATGGACAAAAGGTTTCTCAGATTAGTCAGAGTCTCTCTAGGATTATCCAAGGGAGATAATCATCTAATTCTAATGAATTTATCACTTCGATAGCAATCTCTACAGAGTAGCTACACAGGATTCTCTAGTTCTAATGAATTAATCATTTAAATAAACAATCTGTACAGAGTAACTGTTGATTAGCTCAAAATATCACTTCCCCTTAATAATAATTTATATGGCTCTTTGCAGTTTACAAAGTGCTTTAACAAGTCAGCCCTCTACAATTTTTATTTTATTTTATTTTTTTAGGCAATTGGGGTTAAGTGATTTGCCCAGGGTCACAAAGCTAGTGTCAAGTGTTTGGTCTGAGGCTGGATTTGAACTCAGGTCTTCCTTTCAGGGCCAGTGCTTTATTCACTGCACCACCTAGCTGCCCAACCCTCTACAATTTTCAAACACAGTATGTGTTGTTATTACACAACTCTGTATTTTCTGTAGGTAAAACTAGCAATCCTTTTTTCTATTTTATGACTTCACTATATAATTTTCACTTCAGAATTGTTAAATGTTATATTTTCTTTTAAAAAAATTGTTTTTATCTTTTGTAATTTTATCACTGTCATTTATCCCCTTTCCTCCAAAACGGACCCTCCATTGTAACAGTCCATTATAACAAAGAAAAACAATGATCTGTTTCACATTAATCAACCTTTTAAAGGATCACATGTACTTTTCAAATGGTATGGTTGACTTTTATCACTTCAAATTTTAAGGTCTACAAAAGTATTCTCAAACTCAAATCACATTAAAAAGTCTATTACTAATCTATTTCTAACCATTATCTTAATCTTTGTTTTTCTTCAAAAGACTGTTAATTTAATTATATGTTCTTCAAACAAAAGTACAAAGGTCGGCATAATAGGATTTTGGGGATAAGCATTACAAAGATCAAGACTGAGGTTGGAGAACACAGCTCTAAAATAATATTATCAAGCTTCTTCCTCTTATTATGGTAATTATATGTATTATAGTATTACTAGCATAAAACAGAGCACTGTTGGCTTCAGGTGAAGAAAACAGCTGTGACAAATGGGATAACAACCATTATCATAAAATTTAACAAGGCAAAAATATTTCTAAAAAGGCACACACATATTGCAATTACAAGTAGATAAAATTTATAACACAAGTCATTTAAAAGTGCTAGCAAAACAGCCTTCAGTTGAGTGTTCCATAATTAATATTCTTAAGTGACTGATGACTAATTCACGTACTTATATTCTTCAATGGAAAACTATCTCTTCCAAACTCCAATGGATCTGTAACCTCATGAATGTGGTTATTCCCTCTGATGTTGCAGATCACAATCCATCCATACTTGCTCACACTCACATAGGTTAAACAACCTAACTCCCTGTACATTGTTTTGATATGGAACACATTTCTGGAAGGAAAGCCTGATATCTAGAGGAACTCTTATAATTCTGTGCTCATCAAACAAACTTGCACTCTGTAACTGAATGTTCTATGAGGATCAACTCATCAGAAGCCAGTTATCTTGGCAGATGTACTGTAAATTAACTGATATTTTGATTTAAGTATCTTATATTTGGTTAGAGTAAAAGAATTCCTAGAGCCTCATTATGCTTAGGAAAATTAATAATAATGATAATTCCTCATATTTGTACTGTGCTTTAAGGTATAAACAGTGCTATCCTCACTACATCACCATAAGGCAGATAAATAAAATAAATTTGGAATCAGATACTAAAATCATGTGAGCTGGGCCAAATTCCCTGTGAAGCCTGAATAGGAAGTCTCATTTTTCCATTAATCAAATCACACCACTATTTAAGACAATCAAGTCATGATTAGTAAGTTCAGTACCGTGTTACTTAAAAAAAAAAAAAAAAAGCAGCAGCAATGTAAATTTAAAAAAACTAACCAGTTTATCACTCCATTGATGTGGTGTGTTGCTGTGTGGTCTTTTGGAAGACCAGAAGTCCCATTGATAGGGTAAAAGGATGGAGTTGAGCACATAGGACTTCCCAAAGATTGCATAAGTTGAGGACTCTGTAAGAGAAAAATTAAAATGTGACAAGAAAGATTTTGTAGCAATTTCCTGCCTTTCCACCAGATATGACCTTAGCTTTCTCCCCCAACCCCCAATCTGGACTAACAATAAGCCCTGTTCTTTCTTCTCCCCTAAAAGCTATTTTGGTAATGTTGCTAAAGATTCATGTGTTAGAGGACCAATACCAACAATAATAACCAAGATCTATATAGCACTGACTACATGCCAAGCACTGCTTTACAAATATTATCTCATTTTACCTTCATAACACTGAGAGGTAAGTGCTATTATTAGACCCATTTTACAGATGAGGAAACTGAGGCAAACATAAGTTAAGTGATTTGTCCAGGGTCATACAGTTTGTAAGTGTCTGAGGGTGGAGCTGAATTCAAGTCTTCCTGATTCCAGCACAGCTCTTCATCCATGGCATGCCTAAGTATAAGACAGTAAGTATGCTAGGCACCTCATACACAAAGACAAAAGGAAAAATCGTTCCTAGTCTCCAGGAGCTTGTATTCCAATTTGGGGGGAATGGCTGGTCAGGAAAGGAATCAGAGAAGTGTAATTTGAGAAAGGAGAGAGCACTAAACAAGATGATCAGAAAAAGCTTCTGGAAGGCAACTGCTACAAAAAGGGAGTAGTTTAAAAAAATGAAGAGAAAAAAAAAGTTTCTAGATCATTTTGTTAAAAAAAAAAATCCACAGAAGAGAAGGCCAGAAATAATCAGCCAGCAGGATGGCACTGAAAGTTACAATTTAAAAAGGAAAGCTGAGCATACTGTTTTGTATTTTCATGTACAAACTTCTTTTTCTATTCTATTGTATACTGAAATGCCCATTTTTATTTTGAGTTTAAAGTTCAGAATAAGATTTTGAAAAAAAATTCGTATCAATTTATCATATATCCTAGATATCAGATCTCTATCAGTAGAGAATTTTTCTGCCAATATTTTTTCCCCAGTTAACTGCTATCCTCCAAATTCTACCTTTTTCTGTGTGTGCACATGCGCAAAAGCTTTCCAATTTTTTTGCAACTGAAAGTGTCCTTTTATCTTTTATGATCACTTGTATCTCTTGTTTGGTCAAGAACTCTCCTCATCCATAGTTGGTTGTTTGCATATTAAAAATATTTTATTTTCGATTCTAAATTCTCTTCTACTCTTTACCCAATCTCCCACTTAATGAGAAAGCAAGAAATAAATGTCTATTTTACATATGAAGTCACAGAAAACATTTTCACATTAGCAATGTTGCAAAAAATTTTTTTTAATTAAGAAATTAAGAAAGAAAAAGTGAGGGAAAAAATGTTTCAGTCTGCCCTTAGAGCTCATCATGTCTCTCTGGAGGTGGCTTATGCACAGTTGTTAAAGATATCTTCTTCTCTTCTTTTCTAATTTATGACAAATTTGTATTTATGTCAATAAATGATTCAGAGCTTATCATGGTTATCTGGTGAAAGCTGTTGGTCTAAACTTAATTTCTGTCTGATTTGTTTCAAGTTTAAATACCAGTTTTCATGAAATACAGAGCGTTCATCTAGCTTTTCTACTCATCTATGAAACTATTGGTCAAAGAAGAAGCTTTCTTGCCTGGTTTTAGGAGGTAAAAGCATAAAGTACAGGGCAATTGAACCTTATACAATACTGCAGCACATGCCAATTATTGGGGGAGTACCAGGAGAAAGCCCTTGCCGTGTTCTAGCAAGTGAGGTATCAAAGACTTTGTAGAGGTACTCATGGATTTCCCCCCTCACTGGAAATCTACATGTGAAACGCTAACTCAGATTCTATTGGGGAAGAGGAATAAATAAATTGGATAAAGGCCTTACCTATTAATATATTCACAAATTGCATATATTCTGTAGTAAGCAATATTAATTCAGTTACATTTATCAGAATGAGGAAAGCTAGAATTTACAGTTACAAAATTCTAAGAATCAAAACCACAGAGTCAAATACATAAGAAAAAAAGGTACAGAACTACAGAGACAAGACATCAAGTTAGAAGTTACCATTTTGTTGGTCTTGCCATAGTTGTTTTATATATATATATAATTTTTTTTATGTCTAAGCAATGGGGTTAAGTGACTTGTCCAGGGTCACAGAGCTAATAAGTGTTAGGTGTCTGAGGCTGGATTTGAACTCAGGTCTTCCTGAATCTAGGGTGAGTGCTCTATCCACTGTGCCACCTAGCTGCCCTTGTTGTTATATTTTTTAAGGAAGCCTGAATAATTCTGATGTATGCATAGGAAGCAACTTAATGGAATATAATCTTAAAGCAATACCATTCTGTGTAAGATATGTTGGTATATAAATCACATTATTTTCATGGTGGTCTTTTTGAAAATCTTTACCATAAGCAGTTCAAAGAAAGATAACCAAATGCCCATGAAATAAAATGTCTTGGTTGTTTTGGGAACATAAAAAGTGAATTCACTAAACAAATTGGATGTTGAACAACTTTGTAAAAAAGAAAGTGACAGCAAACAAGTGATTATTAATGTAATACAAAGCCATAAAATAAAAGTGAGATAAAACTACGGTAAGCAACCTTACTCATTTAAACAAAGTATTAATAATAGGCTTCGCAAGAGAACCAACTAAGCAAAATCATCAAGAGAGCTTTTGAGGATGAGCATAGAAGAATAACACCAAATGGAAGAAAAATGGAAAAGATCTGAATGGAATGGACAGAAGAAAGGACATGGATACAAACTATACTGAATTCATATGTAAGTTTAATTGAGGTAAATCTATTGTCATCAACAAGTGTTTATTACATGCCTATTTATCACAGTGACTGTCACTGGTTCTGGGGACACAAATACAGTGAATGAAATCAATCTTTCTCATAAGGAACTTACATTCAAATAGTTAAGACAAGTACATATGCAGTATATTCAGAAAAAAGACAATAAATGTAAAACAAGGTAACTAAAAGACAGTTTGGAAGGGAGGGCACTAATAATTGGGGTAGATAAGTGAATGAGAAGCAGAAAGAAGGTAGCACTTTAGGTGAGTCCTGAAGAAAGGTTTTTTTTTTCCTTCAAAGAAAGAGGTGAAGGAGGTGAGTGCAAAGGTGAGAAGGGAGTACATTCTAGTCATTGGAGGACAGATATTGCAAAGATATGAAGACAGGAGAAAATGCCATGAGAAACAGAGAGAAAGCCAGTATGAATAGATTTAAGTACTGAGAGGCAGATTAGTGTCCAATGAGTCTGGCAAGAGAAGCTTGGGTGAGGTTATAGGGGGCTTTAAAAGCTAAGGAGTTTTTATTTGATCTGAGAGGTAAAAGAGAACATTGAAATTTTTTGAGCAGGGAAATCACATGGTTAGAATTATTATTTGAGGAAAATCACTTTGGCAGACTATGCAGGATGGCCTGAAATTTGACTTGAGGCAGGCCAACAAATTAGGAGGCTACTGAAATGAACTAAGGTGCTAACTAAGGTGGTAATGAGTGGGTAACATGGTTCTGAGATGTTCAGAGATGTTGTGAAGGTAGAATTAGCAAGGTGTGGCAAATGACTAATACAGAGTTGAGGGAAAGTGAGGAGGTGAGGATCACACAAGATTACAAAGTTATGAATTTGGGAGATTGGAATTACAGCAGTATTTTGACAGAAAGAAGGAAGTATGGAATAAGGGTGGAGTTGGGGGAAAAAGATAACTAGTTTTGTTGGTGGTGAGTCAGAGATGTCTCCAAGGCAGCCAGTGTGAAATTTCTCACAGGCAAAAACAGTGATGGGGAGGGGGAGTAGAGGTTGAAGCACATGGGAAAGATTAGGACAGGGTATAGAGATTTGGGAGTAATTGGAATAGAGATAATAATTGAGCCCATGAGAGGTGATAACATCAGCAAGAGGCAAAGCATATTGAGCCATGACTAGAGTGCCTAGGACAGAGCCTTAGGGAGCACCCACAATAAGGGGTGCAATATGAATGATGAATGAACAAAGGAAACCAAGAAGGAGACAGCAAGAGAACCAAGGGAGGAAGAGTAATGTCATGAAAACTTAGAGAGAAAAAAGTATCCAGAAGAAGAGGTTAGTCAACAGTGTAGAGTAGACAGTAGACAGGTAAAGAGGGATGAGGACTGAGTAAAGACCACCAGATCTGGCAATGCAGAGATCATTATAACTTTGGAGAAGTTTCAGTTGAGTGACAAGGTAAGAATATATTCAACAAAAGAGTTGAGGAACTAGTGAGAGGGAAGAAAAAGCAATAAGTGTAGACACTTTTTTAACAGGAGTTTGGCTGAGGGAAGGAGATGAAGGACAAAATCCTGGGAGGGTGGTAGGGTCTAGCGTTGGTTTGTTTCTTTATTTTTTGGTGAGGCAATCAGGGTTAAGTGACTGATGACACAGCTAATAAGTGACATCACGTGTCTGAGGATGGATTTGAACTCAGGATGTCTTGACTCCAGGGTCAGTGCTCTAGCCACAGTGCCACCTAGCTGCCCCTCCAGCGATGGTTTTTTAATGAGGAGGCAATTTGGTCAAGTTAAAGACAGCAGGGGAGGAATCAGTAGATAGGGAGAGAGTGAAGATTTGAGAAAGAGAGAAGAAATTTTTGAGGCTGTGATTTGATGGAAAAGATAGAAAGGGACAGGATAAAAAAACAAAACAAAACAAAACATGTAGAGCTTAGAAATCCTGGAAAACTTTGACTTGCATGTCTAGCAGACAGAGATGGCATTCAGAGTCAATACCATTAAAGAATAGAAATCCATTTACAGAGAGAAGAAGCAGAAGTAAAACTCGTTTAAAGAAAGCTGAATAAAATACAATTCAAAAAAAGTCAAGCCAAGCTAATTTTGGAACAAAAATGGAAAAACAACATTAAAAAAATGGAAAAGATGTATAAAGATATCTTTACATAAAATTTTTTACTACTGTCAAGGACAATAAAGTAAGTACATTTAAACTTTAACGCCACAATCCCACAGAGGATGTTTAAAAAAAAAAACTTAAAGAGAATAAAGATAGAAAAGGCAGCTGG